AAGGTCTGCAAGGAACCACCCAGCTCAGAGAGAAGGAAGGAAGGAAGGAAGGAAGGAAGGAAGGAAGGAAGGAAGGAAGGAAGGAAGGAAGGAAGGAAGGAAGGAAGGAAGGAAGGAAGGAAGGAAGGAAAATTACTGATGATGTTACCTAGCTGGGCAATGAAATGTCTGCAAGAAAACCACCCAGCTCAGAGAGCACCCAGGACCCCACAGTCCTCTCTTCCTCCTCTCTGCAAACCCAACTCCCTTTGACCACTGATGATATTACCTCATTGGGTCATGAAACGTCTGCAAGGAAACCACCAAGCTCAGAGAGCACCAAGGAGGAAGGAAGGAAGGAAGGAAGGAAGGGAGATTACTGATGATGTTGGTGTGCCAGTTCCCCAGCCAGTTCAATTCTGGGAATTGAAGTTTACAGCTCTTAATGTTGCCAAAGTAGTAGTAGTAGTAGTAGTAGTAGTAGTAGTAGTAGTAGTGAGGAGGAGGACGAGAAGAAGAAGAAGAAGAAGAAGAAGAAGAAGAAGAAGAAGAAGAAGAAGAAGAAGAAGAAGAAGAAGAAGAAGGAGAAGAAAAGAGAGAGGAGGAGGAGGAGGAGAAGAGGAGGAGGAGAAGGAGAAGAAGGAGGAGGAAGAGGAGGAGAAGAGGAGGAGGAGGAGGAGGAGAAGGAGAAGGAGAAGAAGAAGAAGAAGAAGAAGAGGAGGAGGAGAAGAAGAAGAGGAGGAGGAGGAGAAGGAGAAGAAGAAGAGGAGGAGGAGGAGAAGAGTAGTAGTAGTAGTAGTAGTAGTAGTAGTAGTAGTAGTAGTAGTAGTAGTAGTTGGAAGGATTCCTGAAGGTCTTCTAGTCCAACCCCCTGCTCAGGCAGGAGACCCTCTACACCCCTGTTCTAGACAACGTTCTAGACACCCTGTTCTGAAACCCGACTGCTCCATCCCTGGAGGTTTTGAAGAAGAGACAGGACCAGCATTTGTCAGAAATGCCCTGGGCTCTCCCGTCTGAGCAGGGGGTTGGACTAGAAGACCTCCAAGGTCCCCTCCGGCTCTATTCTGGATTTAAAGAGGCCCGAGCACCCAACGGCTGCTTCGTCCTCCCCACGGGCCTTCAGCCCCAGTGGGGCAGGGCAGTGGCGGGCGTACCTGCTTCTTCCCCGCTTCTCTCGGCCTTGGGGCCCTCCTCCTGGGGGGAGGCGGGGGGCGACTGGAGGGAGATGAAGGAGGGCTGCTTGGTCAGGCGGCTGCTCTGAGGGAGGATCCTGAGGTGCCAGCAGGCTGCTCCTGGTGTCCCCCCTTCCTCCTCTTCCTCGCCTTTTCTCCTGCAAGGGAACAAAGAAAGAGCAACTGAGGTTTCTAAAGAGGAGACTGGAGCAGGGGGTTGGACTAGATGACCTCCGAGGTCCCTTCCAGCTCTGCTCATTTCGGGAACTAATCCCGTGGAACGGAAGTTGCCTCCAGAACTTGTGGGTGCTCCATCACTGGAGGTTTTTAAGAAGAGACGGGACGGCCACTGGTCTGGATTGGTAGATGCACGCACACACATGTGCCCCATTTCACACCACCTCCATCCGTCCGTGTTAAGGCTGGTCACTCACACAATGCATTGCTGGCTGTGGAATTCTGGGAGTTGAAGTCCACATGCCTTAAAATTGTCAAGGTTGAGAAACACTGCTCTAGGTCCACATGTGTGCGTTCTCTCTCTCTCTCTCTCTCTCTCACACACACACACACAAACAAACAATTTCAGATGACCTTACTCCATCTGACAGTCAGAACAATTAATGACAGTTAACCAGTGAGACCACCTGCCTCCAGAAGCGGTGAATGCTCCAACACTGGAAGTATTTAAGAAGAGACTGGACAGCCATTTGTCTGGAATGGGATAGGGCCGTGGTGGCGAACCTATGGCACACGTGCCACAAGTGACACACAGAGCCCTCTCTGTGGGCACGTGTGCCGTCGCCCCAGTCCTAGGCCTTCAGCTGGGTTTTATAAAACCTTTTTGCTTTAGGCCTCCACTGCTGTGTGCAAAAAAAAAAAAAAAAAAAAAAAGGTTCAATCAGTCAATTTCAACTTCTCGTGGGAAAAAAAAAGATCTTGCAAAGTTGGAATTGATTGATTGAACTTTTAAGTCCCACCCAGTCTGCCATTACCACCGCAGCCACACCCACCCAATGGGCCACGCCCACCCGGCACCCGACGATCCATAAGTGGGTTTTGGGTTGCAGTTTGGGCACTCGGTCTCTAAAAGGTTCGCCATCACTGGTCTAGGGCTTCCTGCCTGAGCAAGGGGTTGGACTAGATGACCTCCAAGGTCCCTTCCAACTACTACTACTGCTACGACAACGACTTCCTCTTCTTCTCCTTCCAACTCTGTTCTTCTGCAAGGGTCTCCTGCCTGAGCTGGGGGCTGGACTAGATGACCTCCAGGGTCCCTTCCAGCTCTGTTATTCTGTGAGGGTCTCCTGCCTGAGCAGGGGGTGGGACTAGATGGCCTCCAGGGTCCCCTCCAAGTCTGTTCTTCTGCAAGGGTCTCCTGCCTGAGCAGGGAGCGGGACTAGATGGCCTCCAGGGTCCCTTCCAACTCTGTTCCTCTTAGCACAGAGACTGTGGGTTAGCTCTGGCTTCAGCTGACCGCTATCCTCTCCCTCCCCTCCGGCCTCAGCCCTTCCCCTCCGGCCACCTGGCCTGGGCTCCCAATTTCCGCCCCCTCCAAGGTGTCGGGAGCATTCCACTCCCCCCCCAAATAGAAGGAAGAGGCGCAGCCGCTTAGTGACGCGCTTCAAAACCTGTTTGACGTCTGCCTTGGCAGCCACGCTGGCTACTCAAAGACGGAGAGAAGGTGCTACTTAAGAGCCCTTCTCACCTAACCCTCCCCATTCTCGCCCCCCCACCCCCCACCCCAAGCTCCTCCGCCGGAAAACAGGAGTGGAACGCCCGGGCCCTGGGCCAGCTCCCCTTCTCCCTTGCCCTGACGGATTCCTGCCCGCCTAAAAACAGCCAAGGGGGTATTTTCTGCCGGCCTGACACGGGGGAAGCGGGCGAGGGGCCGTTCCAAGTTTACGCAGTCACCCTGGATAACTCGGCGACGGCATTTGTGCGCCGGGCACGGCCATACAAGGCGGGTTGGGGGTCCCCGGGGACGGAGATAGAGGCAGAGGGAGAGGGGTGGGAGGTGGGGGGTGGGTGGGCAGGAGGTCAAGCTTCTTTCCAGTTTCCTACAATGGGGTGGTTCCCCCCCCATCACCCCCAATCCACGGGGAGATCCAGGGCTGAGCCGCTAACTCCGTGATTTGCAACCTCAGCCGTTTTCTAAAAGACGGGTGTACTTCAACTCCCAGAATTCCCCAGCGGATGCGGGGGGGGTTTGTCCTCGGCTTACAACCGTCCCTTTAGTGACCGTTCGAAGGTACGAGGGAACTGACTTCTTGCCGTTTTTGGCTGCGGCACCCGCCCTGCTGCCCGCGGTCAAAATTCAGACCCTTGGCAGGCTGACTCGTACTTATGACGGTCGCCGAGGTCCCTTCCCACTCCATCGTTCTGCATCCTCAACCCAACGGGCGGATTCAATTCGAGGAGAAGCGGGGGGGCGGTCCTCGGATGACGACCGGCACTGAGTCCCAGGTTTCCGTCGCTCAGCATGACGATTGTTTAGGGAGCGTTGCCCCGTTTTGCAAACTTTCCGGCCACCGTCGCTAAGCGAACCCCTGCAGCGGTTAAGTGGTTAACACAGTTGCCAACTGAATCCGGCTTCCCCCCTCCCCCTGGGGATTTTTATTGCCAGGAGGTCGCAAAAGTGGATTGTGGGGCTCCCCAGGACATCGTAAATATGAGCCTGGTTGGCAGGTGTCTGAATTTTGGATTCCGTGAGACGGTCGTTCAGTGTGAAAAATGGTCGTAAGTCACTTTTTTCCAGTACCGCCGTAACTCTGAGCTGGTTGCTAAAAGGAACGGGGTAAGCCGAGGACGACCCGTATTGCAGGGAGTCAGCTGGCTGATTCTCTGACCGAGTAAGGAGCTGGCCATGCTCTGGCCACGGGGGACCCCACGGATCCATGGGGAGCCCCCTCGGTGGGGCTCAGCCCCATCATTAGGCCAACATTAGGTCTGGAGTGGTCTAGGGCAGAGGTCCCCCACCTATGAGCCGTGGCCCACTACTGGGCTGTGACGTCTTGGCCACTGGGCCACGTGAGCGGCTGGCCAGTACGAGCGCGCATGTGCGTGTGCTCATCTCCCTGCAACGGCACTAGATGCGCCATGAGCTGCGAATCTCACGCCGGTGCTAGCCACCCCATTTGCAGAAGGTGCGTGCTCACGGTCCTGTTTGCGGGCACGTGCGCGCAGACCCATTTCCGTGTGTACGCGTGTGCATCAAGGTGCCTGCTTCCCACCAAGCCGCCAATCCAGAAAGATTAGGGACCTGTTCTAGCGTCTCCCGCCTGGACAGGGGATTAGACTAGAAGACCTCCAGGATCCCCACAAGTCTGTCGCTCTCTTTTTAGACAGGTGGCCCTCAACTACAATGAGTTTAGGGACTGTTCAGAGTTGCCACCTTACTGGAGGAAAAAAGTGACGGAGGACCATATTTCAGCCTGACAATAGTCGCGGCGTCCCCGCGGTCAAAATTCAGACGGTTGGCAACCGCCTCACATTTCCGACGGTCGCGGCGTCCCAGACGTGTACGATCCTTCTGACGAGCACAGTCAATAGGGTCAACCAGATTCCCGTCGTGACCGTCGTGCTAACTTTCTCGCAACCGGAGCGAGAAATGTCGTTAAGACAGGACAAAGCTCACTTAACCAGTTTCTCGCGGAACGATACAAATTTTGGACTCGTACGTTGGGGACTACCTGTCCCTCGAGGCTGACAGCGCCACGTCTGATGCGTTGTCGTAGCGAAGGCCCCGAGTCTTGCGACGGAGAAGCGCAGGAGCTCGGCCTGTCAGGAATTCAGAAAAGCTGCCTGGGGCTGCAGGCCTCCCTCGCAGGCAGGGTTTTTGTCCCCGGTTGATCTCTGGCTCCTCTGCAGAGGCCCCCCCCCCCACTCGCACGTGCTCGCCTGGCCCAGCTCCCTAGGCCAGGAGAAGCCGAGCGGAAGAGGGTCACGGGTCCGTTTGGCAAAAGACTCCCTCTCTCTTCTCTTACCACGGAAAGATTTATGGATCCCTTCGACACAAACAAGACACAAACAAGATTTAAGGCTCGGGAATGGCTGCGGCAGCAGATCAGCCCTGGGAGAAACCCAGATCCTTTTGCAGATGCGGCTGGGGGAAGCCGCTAGGAGGACAACAATACAGGCCGTCCTGCACTTACGGCCACAACAATGGAGCCTCAACGTTTCTGCTGCTAAACGAGGCAGGTACGCTAAGCCCCGTTCCACGGTCTTTCTCGCCCAAGTTGTTAAGGGAACCACTTCAGCTGTGAAGTTAATCACACGGTCGTTAAACGAATGGGCCTTCCCCCTTGACTTTGCGTGTCAGAGGGTGGCCAAAGGGGAATCACATGATCTGCGGGACGCTGCAACCGTCGTTAAGTATGTGCCGGATGCAGAGGGTCTGAATTTGGATCGTGTGACCACGGGGAGGCTGCAACAGTCACAAGGGCCCAAAATTTATCGTAAGTCATTTTTTCCCAGCGCCGTTGTAACTTTGGTCAGTAAATGAACTGTGGTAAGTTGAGGACCACCTGTACGGTCAGTGTCTCCGCTGGAGAATGAAGGGAGAGCAGAACGGGTTGACGAAGGCCAGAATTCACCGATGGTTTGACTGGGCGTCTACGCAGTTTAAGTCAGGGGTCTTCCAACTTGGCCCTTGGATGACTTGTGGACTTCAATTCCCAGAATTCCTCAGCCAGGCACGCGTGCCTGGCTGAGGAATTCTGGGAGTTGAATTCCACAAGTCATCCAAGGGCCAAGTTGGAAGACCCCTGGCCTAGTTGCTCTTCTCTTCACTTTTCCCGACATCTCAACATCTTCTTTGTACTGTGGTGATCAAAACTGGATGCAGTCTTCCAGGTGTGGCCTTACTACGGCTTTATAAAGCGTTACTAACACTTTGCGTGATCTTGATGCCTCTGTTTATACAACCCAGGATTGTGTTAGCTTTTTTGGCTGCTGCCGCACACGGCCGGCTCCTGGTCAAGTGATCGTCCACTAGGACTCCAAGGTCCCTCTCACAGCTGCCGTTTTTGAGACAGGTCTCGCCCAATCTGTAAGGTGTAGGTGTAAGGTGTAGGTGAGCCGAGGTGGCGCAGCAGTTAGAGTGCAGTACTGCAGGCCACTTTAGCTGACTGTGTTCAGCAGGTCAGCGGTTCAAATCTCACCGGCTCAAGGTTGACTCAGCCTTCCATCCTTCCGGGGTAGGAAAAATGAGGACCCAGATTGTTGGGGGCAATGTAAATATATATATACATTGCTTACTGGTGTACACCGCTTAGAGCAGTGGTTCTCAACCTGTGGGTCGGGACCCCATTTGGGGTCGAACGACCATTTCACGGGGGTCGCCAAACAAGGCTGTCCACCATTTTCTTCCCTCTTTTCTTTGGCCACGCCCCTGGCACCCGGTGATGTATAAGTGGTTGGGGGTCACCACAACATGGGGAACTGTTATTATGCAGTCGCGGCATTGGAAAGGTTGAGAACCACTGGCTTAGAGAGTGCTTGCACTTAAAGCGGTATATAAGTCTCATAAATAAATAAATAATAAATAAATAAAAGGTGTAGCTAGGCAAGGAAAACTCAAGGTTGGGTTTCCCCCCCCCCCAACGTTTTCAAAACTTTTTCCAAGTTTTGTCCTAGACCCGTGGTGGCGAACCTTTTAGAGACCGAGTGCCCAAAATCTGGCCCTGCCCCCACTCCACCCCCCTGCCCCGCCCCGCCTGCCCACAGGATCACTCATTGCCTCCAGGGCCCACCGCAGATGGCCCAGGCAGCCCGGCAGCGCTATGGCGGCCACATCCTCTGCCCACGCCCTGCACCATCAACTGCGCGATGGGGCGTGAGGGCAGAGTCTTGTCTACACTGTCTGGTTGCCACGTCCTTGGCTGCGCTGCTCCGCGTGGGCCACGCTCGGGGGCGAGTCTCCTCCAGGGGGGCTGCTGGAGAGGAGGGGATCGCGGACACCACCCGTGTGCCCACAGAGAGGGCTCTGAGTGCCGCCTCTGGCACCCGTGCCATAGGTTCGCCACCACTGTCCTCGACCCGCGGCTCAGACACCCTCCTCTTTCAAGGGTCCCACCATGGGAGAAGAAGAGCAGCAGTGATGCCCTGGGAAGGGGACCCATCCCTCTGACGGCCTGGGGGGGAGAAGACAAAGGGATGGCAACTCTCCAAGGCCTCCTTACCTTAAAGTCTGCTTTGCGTAGTTTCCCTGCTCAGCTGGACAGGAGTCTGTGACACCGGCTTGCGTGGCCAGGCGCTTCTTCTGAGGGTGCTGCAGCTTGCACCGGGAACCCTTGGGGCAGACGCCGTGTTTGGAGAAATCCGCGCACACCAAGGTGTGCTTCTTCTTGCACTGAAAAGGAAGGCGAACAAGATCCACCATGGATCAATCTACAGCAGTGGTTCTCAACCTTTTTAATGCTGCGACCCCCAACCGGTCATAAGTCAAGGACTCAACCGGTCATAAGTCGAGGACTACTCAACTGGTGCAGCATCGTTTGCAGAATGGGACTTTTGGCGGGCTCAGCAGGGCAGAGACAGCCTGGACAATTCCTATTGGCTTTGGAAAGCCAATAGAATTAGACCCTATTCAAGAGAGTCTCTTCTATTGGCTTTCAAAAGCCAATAGAATAAAAGGGAGGAGCACAGCTAAGGAAAAGGGGGAAAAAATGGCGGACTGCGTTGTTTGGCGACCCCCATGAAATGGTCGTTCGACCGCTAATGGGGTCCCGACCCACAGGTTGAGAACCACTGATCTACAGAGAAAGGCAAGGAGGGCCTTCTGGAGCTTCTCCAGAGGAGGAACTCAAGCGTTTTACAGGGGCTGCTCAAATATCTGAGGTGGCTTCCCAAAGCCGGCCACCGGCCAGCCTGGAGGAGCTTGGAAGCTGAAGGCGGAGGACATGGGTCCAGCATCAAGGGTACGGCCAATTAACATCAGCAGATCACCTTTGATGGGCTGGAAGCACAAAGGCGATTAGCCAGGTGGCTTCCAGTCTTGAATTGCATGTTCCACCATGTTGATACGGGCAACGCAAGACTCATAACAAGTAGCGCTTGTGTGTGTGTGTGTGTGTGTGTGTGTGTGTAATGTTGATGCTTTGGTGTGTGTCCAACTAAATCCACACATTGAAAGGGCCCAGGTAGCCTTCACTTAAGGTCATGGAGAATCCACAAGAACAGGTAGCCCTTGACGTATAACCATTTGAAGATAATAATAATAATAATAATAATTAAAAAAAAGTTAGAAGGCACCTTGGAGATCATCTAGTCCAACCCCCTGCTCAGGCAGAAAACCCTACACCATTCCGGACAAATGGCTGTCCAGTCTCTTCTTAAAGACTTCCAGTGTTGGAGCATCCACCACTTCTGGAGGCAGGCGGTTCCACTGGTGAATTGCTCTCACTGTCAGGAAGTTTCTCCTTAGTTCTAGGTTGCTTCTCTCCTTGATCAGTTTCCATCCGTTGCTTCTTGTCCTGCCTTCAGGCGCTTTGGAGAATAGCTTGACTGCCTCTTCTTTGGGGCAGCCCTGGAGATATTGGAACACTGCTATCATGTCCCCCCTCGTCCTTCTTTTCATTAAACTGGACACGCCCAATTCCTGCAACCGTTCCTTATACGTTTTAGCCTCCAGTCCCCTAATCATCTTTGTTTCTCTTCTCTGCCCTCTTTCTAGAGTCTGAATATCTTTTTTACATGTTATTTCAAAAGGAAAGTGTTAATACCACTTTATAATGCCTTAGTAAGGCCACACTTGGAATCCTGCATCCAGTTTTGGTCACCACGATTTAAAAAAGATGTTGAGACTGTAGAAAAAAGTACAAAGAAGAGCAACAGAGAGGATCAGGGGACTGGAGGCTAAAACATATAAGGAATCGCTGATGGAATTGGGTATGTCTTGTTTAATGAAGAGAAGGATGAGGGGTGACAGAATAGCAGTCTTCCAGTATCTCAGGGGCTGCCCCAAAGAAGAGGGAGTCAAGCTCTTCTCCAAAGCAGCTGAAGGCAGGACAAGAAGCAACGGGTGGAAACTCATCAAAGGAGTGAAGCAACCTAGAACTAAGGAGAAACTTCCTGACAGTCAGAACAATTAATTAGTGGAACGGAAGTTGCCTTCAGAGGTTTTTGGAGGTTTGCGAGAGGAGATTGGACCACCCTTTGTCTGGAACGGCACCGACGGTCTCCTGCTTGAGAAGAGGGTTGGACTAAATGACCTCTAGGGTCCCTTCCGACTGTTCAGCCTGCTCTTCTCTTTGCCAGAGCACCAGAGGGAATTGGGATGTACTAAATGCGCCACCGCTTTGCAGGCTGAAACATGACCAAACATGGACGGAAAAAAACAACAAGAAGAAAGAGACAGGACGATGGTCCGAGTCCCTTCCTGGAAAAGAGGGGAAGACGTTACATCAAAATGCGTGGAGCTAAATTTACACGTATGCGGTCTGCTTCCAAACACGGAGGAGGAGGAGGAGGGAGGGAGGAATGGGATGGGATGGTCTCCTTTGAAGTGTCTCCTCCTGCGTCTTCTGGTTTATCCATCAGCGTTCTACCCCGGTCCGAAGAGGCGTCCTCTGAGGTTACGGAACTAATCCATCAGGGGCTGTGTGCAGTCACACACCCAAGGCCAACCGGAGCTTAGGAACTGCACAACAGCTGGGCCGAAGCACACAACAAAGCACACTCGGGACAGCCTGGTTAACCTTGGTTTGAGCCAGGCTGATGGAGGGACGGGTTGACTGCAGGGTCCGACGCACATTCGAAAGCAATTTGGGGATCCTGGACGGGGATGTTATGTGAGCAACACATAAGGAGTTGCAAGCTGTCGACTCGGCGTGGCGCGGAGAACTCAATCTCTCTGACGTCAGGGGACAGGCTGGTCTGGAGCCGGGAGTGGCGCAGAAAGCGTGTCTCCATGCCAGCCAGGCTAAAAATACGGATCCCGCCCCCTGCTCCGTGGGCTGGGTATTTACAGGGCGCTCCTCCTCGCTGGAAATTGAAGATGCCGCCTTGGCCCCGGGTGACGAGGGCTTTTCTCCTCTTAAACCTGCTCAAGTCTTTGGACCGGCCACCCTCCTTGGGGAGGAGGGCGGTGGTGTAAAGAATCCTGGCACCCACCCACAGGAAAGTATGTAACCCTGCCCGGGTAACAAGTGAACGAGGATCTTTGCTGCACCAGGGAAGGGAAAAAAAGAAAAAGCCAACTTGGTGTGTAGCTAATTCGGAGGCTGGGCCCTGCCACACGGATTCTTCTCATAGCTTGGCTTGCAGAAGGAGGGGCCGTGGAGGTCTTCTAGTCCAACCCTCGCTCAAGTGGGAGACCCCCCCATACCAGCTGGGTCCAACCTTGGGAACTTTTAAGCCTTGCAGATCACGCGGGCTGGGGAATTCTGGGAGTTGAAGCCCACCAGTCGTGAAGGCTGGACATCCGTGTGCTAGGCCAGGGGTAGGCAAGCTGGGCTCTTTTATGACTGGTGGACTTCAACTCCCAGAATTCCTGAGCCAGCCATGCTGAGGGGAAAGGGAGAGGTTTCCAAGCTGAGCCATGCTGGCTGAGGAATTCTGGGAGTTGAAGTCCACGAGTCATGAGGGGGCCATAGTTCCCCCATGCTGGCTCAGGAATTCTGGGAATTGAAGTCCACGAGTCATAAAAGAGCCAAGTTTGAAGACTCCTGTCTTAAATATAACAAACAAAATGGAGGCTGGCTGAGGAATTCTGGGAACTGAAGTCCACCAGTTATGAAGGGGCCATAGTTCCCCCATTCTGGCTCAGGAATTCTGGGAGTTGAAGTCCACAAGTCATGAAGGGGCCAAAGTTTCTCCCATGCTTGGGAGAACTTGGCTCTTTTATGACTGGTGGACTTCAACTCCCAGAATTCCTGAGCCAGCCTAGCTCAGCTTGGAAACCTCTCCCTTTCCCCTCATCATGGCTGGCTCTGGAATTCTGGGAGTTGAAGTCCACAAGTCATAAAGGGGCCAAGATTGCCTACCCCGGCCTAGGAGACTCACCGCTTAGAGCAGGAGGACTTAGGCCAGGGGTAGGCAACCTTGGCTCTTTTATGACTGGTGGACTTCAACTCCCAGAATTCCTGAGCCAGCCAGCTGAGGGGAAAGGGAGAGGTTTCCAAGCTGAGCCATGCTGGCTCAGGAATTCTGGGAGTTGAAGTCCACCAGTCATAAAAGAGCTAAGTTTGAAGACTCCTGTCTTAAATCTAATAAACAAAATGGAGGCTGGCTCAGGAATTCTGGGAGTTGAAGTCCACCTGTCATAAAAGAGCCAAGGTTGCCTAGACTAGGACTAGGCCGTCCTGGACATATAGTTGTCCGTGAAAATGTCCAGGGAGGGATGTCCCTCCTTTTCCAACAGGCAACTGGACTTCTTCCATTTGTTTTCTCTGAAAACGTTTCGCTTCTCACCCAAGAGGCTTCCTCGGGTTCTCACCGACTGGTGGGGAACAGAGGAATTCTTCGCAGTCATCTGATCGTTGGCCCTCAAGGATATGAACCCTGCCGCTGCCCACTGTTCAGATAGAACTGAAGAAGCTTCTTGGATGGAAAGCCAAAGGTTTTGAAAGAAAAAAACCAAGACGGTCCAGTTGCCTTTTGGAAAAGCACCTTTCGGACACTCATGGCCCGGATGTGGTGGAGAATCTCCAGAGACCTTCAGGGATGGAGCACCCACAACCTCTGGTGGCAGGCTGTTCCACTGGCAGATTGTCCTCTCTGTTAGAAAGTTTCTCCTTAGTTCCAGGTTGCTTCTCTCTTGGATCAGTTTCCATCCGTTGCTTCTTGTCCTGCCTTCAGGGGCTTTGGAGAATAGCTTGACTCCCTCTTCTTTGGGGCAGCCCCTGAGATACTGGAAGACTGCTACCCTGTCCCCCCTCGTCCTTTCTAAGTTCCAGGTTAAATCTAATAATAATGATGATCATGATAATGGAAGGGACCTTGGAGGTCATCTAGTCCAACCCCCTGCTCAGGCAGGAAACCCTATACCGTTTCAGATAAATGACTGTCCAATCTCTTCTTAAAATCTTCCATTGGAGCATCCACCGCTTCTGGAGGCAGGTGATTCCACTGGTTAATTGTTCTCACTGTCAGGAAGTTTCTCCTTAGTTCTAGGTTGCTTCTCTCCTTGATTAGTCTCCATCCGTTGCTTCTTGTCCTCCCTTCAGGCGCTTTGGAGAATAGCTTGACTGCCTCTTCTTTGGGGCAGCCCCGGAGATATTGGAAGACTGCTATCCTGTCCCCCCATCGTCCTTCTCTTCATTAAACTAGACATCCCCAATTCCAGCAACCGTTCCTTATATGTTGTAGCCTCATTAGGTGGCCAAAGGACTTGAGTTTCCACTTCAGGAT